CAGGTTAATACACAGCCGACAGCCCTATTGGACAACTGTTAAAATTCATATTATGGCAAGAACCAATCAGCTAACTAAAGAAAAACGAGTGGCCATCATTACTTTAAGAAATGAAGGTCAGTCAGTCTGGAAAATTGCAAAAACTTTAAATGTGTCCCCAAGTGGAGTCGCAAAAATCATCAAGCGCTACAACGAAACTGGCACACATGAGGACCGACCCAGGAAAGGAAGACCAAGAGTCACCTCTGCTTCTGAGGATAAGTTCATCCGAGTCACCAGCCTCAGAAATCGCAAGTTAACAGCAGCTCAGATCAGAGACCAGATGAATGCCACACAGAGTTCTAGCAGCAGACCCATCTCTAGAACAACTGTTAAGAGGAGACTGCGCCAATCAGGCCTTCATGGTCAAATAGCTGCTAGGAAACCACTGCTAAGGAGAGGCAACAAGCAGAAGAGATTTGTTTGGGCCAAGAAATACAAGGAATGGACATTAGACCAGTGGAAATCTGTGCTTTGGTCTGATGAGTCCAAATTTGAGATCTTTGGTTCCAACCGCCGTGTCTTTGTGAGACACAGAAAAGGTGAACAGATGGATTCCACATGCCTGGTTCCCACTGTGAAGCATGGAGGAGGAGGTGTGATGGTGTGGGGGTGTTTTGCTGGTGACACTGTTGGGGATTTATTCAAAATTGAAGGCACACTGAACCAGCATGGCTACCACAGCATCCTGCAGCGACATGCCATCCCATCCGGTTTGCGTTTAGTTGGACGATCATTTATTTTTCAACAGGACAATGACCCCAAACACACCTCCAGGCTGTGTAAGGGCTATTTGACCAAGAAGGAGAGTGATGGAGTGCTGCGGCAGATGACCTGGCCTCCACAGTCACCGGACCTGAACCCAATCGAGATGGATTGGGGTGAGCTGGACCACAGAGTGAAGGCAAAGGGGCCAACAAGTGCTAAACACCTCTGGGAACTCCTTCAAGACTGTTGGAAAACCATTTCAGGTGACTACCTCTTGAAGCTCATGGAGAGAATGCCAAGAGTGTGCAAAGCAGTAATCAGAGCAAAGGGTGGCTATTTTGAAGAAACTAGAATATAAAACATGTTTTCAGTTATTTCACCTTTTTTTGTTAAGTACATAACTCCACATGTGTTCATTCATAGTTTTGATGCCTTCAGTGAGAATCTACAATGTAAATAGTCATGAAAATAAAGAAAACGCATTGAATGAGAAGGTGTGTCCAAACTTTTGGCCTGTACTGTGTACATATATATATATATATATATATATATATATATATATATATATATGTGTGTATCATTGTGTATGTATACATAACATTATGTGTGTGCAAAAAAGTTTTTATAGCTGTTAATAAAGCCTCCTGACAGCAAATCCAGCTGTAATCAGCTGCTGCCATCATCACAAAGGGACGTCGCTTCACTTGACATGTCAGAGAAAAAGACGTCTCATTTCTCTAAAGACATATTTCCTCGTTCCTTCTCTCCTCACCCTTCATCCTCGCATATCTCCCCTGTGTCTCATGAGGGCAGAGCTAAGACGCGAGGAAGAGACGCAAGTGAGAGAAACGTGGTTGCCAGATTAGGTATTGGGATGAACCCAAACTGTCAAACTGGGCAGCACTGATCACATGTGAATCAAGATTCTGTTACAGCATTGCCTGTTTCTTGTCTCCAATGTTTTCAGAAACATATTTGAGAAATGAGAAAGTTGGCTGGCTGGTTGGCAGTGCTTGGTACTCATTTTAACTGTATCCAACATCCAACAAATACAACATGCTAACATTATTAGCATAAGCCTATGACATTTTACATTACATAAATTAGCACAGCAGAGTTTTTCTCCACTCATACAAAGCCAAGCCAATTTATTGTTTATCTGTGAAATAAAAGTAAATAAGAGCTTCGTTTCCACTTAGGGAATTGGTTTCAAATCACAAAAATAAAAGGATGTCTGAGTTGGCGTGACAAGCAGTGGGGAGGTGCACATCAGGCTACAGTGTAGGCTGCTGCCGAAAGTATGCCGTTGATTCAACACAGAGGTATAAATCTCGCTTTAACTTCTCTGGTTTCTGGCTTTGAAAGAAGACTGCTCATGATCCCAAATATTGATTGAACTTACCAAGGCCATGGAAATAACTTATTGGAATTCTTAATTTAGATGTTTTTCCCCTGCAAGCTAAACTTACCGGCCTTGATTGGAGCTGGTTATTTGGGACGGTAAACCCTGCACCCCACCTTAAACGTAAGCTTTCAGTTTTGAGTTTCTTGACTCTAACTTTAAGCCAAGAAACCTGGGTTCTTTGCATTTTTTTCTCTGACGTGGTACAGAAGAAATTCCATGACTGTTTCACCGAATGACTGAATGGTACTCCTCACAACTTGTGTACTAACTTTGATGTGTACAGTTGATAAATTAAATCAATTTACTGACAAGTTTGTCCTGAACCTCTGCTGTTTTTATTTGCATGTGTGTTCGCAGGCAGATGACGACCCCATCATGGGTTTCCATCAGAGTTTCATCCTGAAGAACATTAACGATGCATGGGTGTGCACCAATGACATGTTCAGGCTGGCTATTCACAACTTTGGCTAACCCCCCCTCCCCGCGCTGGTGGGCAGGGGCAGCCATAGTGAAGGGCACCATATGATGAAGTATGGAGGGAGGGGAAGGTGGAGTTGAGGATGGAGAGAAGAGAGAACACTCATCCCTCCCTCCTGCTGTCTCATTTACGCCTGCTTGACAAGCAAGCAAACACCGGATTCTAGATGTCAATCACTGAACCTCATCCAGGTGGGTTTTCAGCCCAGCCCAGCCAGTAGAACTGCGACGCGTTTCTTTGCTGAGAGCCGGTCGACCAATCAGATGCCCCTGTCTGCTACTCCGCTGATCTGCATGACGCTGGGAGTCCCCCATTAGGATATCTACACTCAAGCCACCAGAGAGACAAAACAGCTGACCGGCGCCATTAACTCATGCTCTGCTCTGCTCTCCACTGTTATTTACTTAACTCTAACCCATTCTACTCAACTGTTGACTGCACTGCTGTCAACTCAGTTCTGTTAGCACTGTTGTTGACTGGTTTGTAGATCCATGTTCAGGTTCAGAGTCGGCTTCATCAGTTCCGGCTCCTTGTGTTGTAAGTTGTTTTTAGATGCCACTTGTGTGTTGCCTTAGCGTGTTTAACTGAGTTTTATCTTCCTTTACACAGTTATTAACTTTGCCATGATTCACCCTCATGCCAGGTTTTGCTTGTGCAAACCAAAGAGTCATGGAGGACATAAAGTTTGACTTTGCTGTGTGGTGGGCTCCTACATATTCTCTCTTGCGCTCTCTCTCTCTTTCTTTCTCTCCATCTGTCTCTCATTCTTTCTGTCTTTCTCAGTCTGTCTTTTTCTCACACACACACAAACTACAGCCACAATAGACAATAAAACCTGGACTTTTTTCATAACAGTGTGGCCTTGTCTCTCCTTGTCTGTCTCTCCACAGTAAGTCTTATTACAATTGTTTTTAAATGCATATTGTTTTTGCTTCTAGCAAATTAAGTATTAGTTTGGGTGATCTTACTGCAGAGGATCAGCTGGGAAAAGTGACCATACTTGGTTTATATTTATTGTGATTCAGTTGATTGAGAATTGTCAAATAAACACGAGTCAGCCATTGGTCTGCTGAATCGTAACTGGGCTGAAACTGACCTTATTAAGAGGATTGTGTATCTGCCAGATGTGACCTATCCACAGGTAATACAGTTTGTCAATGTTATAAAACTCACTCTGTGTTAGTTACATTCATTAAGTCATGACAGGCTGCCAACTCAGTTTTATTAGCACAGTGGTGGAGTGGAGGAGAGCAGACTGATGATGCAGGTCTGGAAGTAGGAGCTAGTCACCTGACATGCACATCAGTCAGAGCCTATATATAGAGTCTGGAGTGTGCCCACTGAATAAATAATAGGTCTTCAGTGTTTATATTAAGTAATACCTTGATTAAGTCAAATAGCAATAAATAATTAAATCAAATTGGTACTAATATGAAGCCATTAAAAACAGTTTAAGTTACTCAGATTAAGTAAAATACTAATTATCTGAAAAAATATTAAACTGGATCTAAATTTAACTGGCTAAGGATCTTTATTATGTGAATATGAATCACCACTTCGCCTTCCAGTAAGTGCCACTCTCATCATGTCAAACATTTCCATTTCTACACAAGAATCAAAAACCTGTAGGTGTATTTAGATAGGGAGAACCAAAATGGCCAGTAAAGGAAAAATGGAGGCACCATGAAACTATGATAAAATGTGTAAGTTAATCTATTGCAAGACATTTGACTGAAGAAACCCTTTGTGTCAAAGATATCTGGTGCACAGGGATAGAAACAGTTCACAAGGATGGGGAACTTGTGAGGAAAGTACTTGGCCATAATAACAAAACACTGTGCCACCAGGAGGCCTCACCGAGGATTGTTTGCTTCTATTTGGATATTATTAGGACTATTGATTAAATAAATGCCATGATAACATTTAAGTTTGATGACCTTTCAGTTTACTGGTTCGTGTATATACAGTATATATTTACAAACTTATTCATCTAGTTGTTAATGCCATATCTCTATAATACTGGCCATTTTTCAGTTATAATTTGAGACTAGGAACCAGGAAAGTTAAACTGAGATGAGAGATGCTACCTTGACGACTTTAAAGACCATGAGGCCAAGGGTTTGGTCTGCCATGCTGAGCTCAGCTGCTGGTAAAATTACCAAGGAGCAAAGGTCAAATACAAGAAAAGCAGAACACAATTTAAAATTTCTCTCCACCAGCTCACAGACACAACGTTCAAGTGTCTAACAATTAGTGTTGCTGACTGTGGAGGGCGACATTATGCCTTGCTGTGTACAATATGTGTACATTACCTCAGAAGTTGAGGTAGGAACCAATGACCTGCCGCAGACCCGAGTCGGAGCATACGGCGCGGACATGACGGAAGTTTAGACGGTTGCTCTGGGTGAACGAAGGGAACACTGACAGCATCGCATCAAACAAGAAATTATTCTCGCCCCCTATATTAACCCAGTTTCCCCTTTCCCTCACACATGGCGTCCAATTCTAACATAGATATTGAGGGTGCGACCCAGCATCTTCGGGACATCCTCAAGCTCGACCGTCCCGGGAACAGCACCGGTGAGTGAACCGGGAATGAAAAGCGGCTGGGCTAGTTTAGGCCGCAGAGGCTAATGGAATGCTAGCTAACTGAATTGGTACCTAGCTAACATGAGTTGGTTTAGCGCGCTGCTGTACTGGAGTAAAGTTAGCACAACAGTAGTTTCACTGTCTTCTAACAAAAGCCACCCACCGCATGGAAACACAATATAGATGTCAATGAGTGTGCACATGTATTTTTTAACTAATTTAAATGTGGTTAGGTTTGTCGAAATGTTAGACCGCTAACTGCGCCGGAAAGGTTATTTTCGCAAGTGTTAGCAACGTTGCGAGCTAGCTTATGTCTCTGTCTATTTTCTGGGGTAGGAAAGCTGGCTATTTTGCCGCTAAGCGACGAAAATGAAGATAAAATGTTTTTTAATCGAAATTATCTCTGTAGCACCTCTTCATTTATGACTTAAAAGCAGTAAATAGAGATGTGTCTCTATAACGTATCGCTTGGCCAGATTTATTTCACTGCTATCAAGAATTAGCTCGAGCCTCCATAACTGCGTAGAAGGTCGGTGTTCTTGGCTAATTTCGACACACTCGTTTTAGGGATGTTTGTGGTTCTCTCAGACAAGTAATACTTGGTCATTTGGAAACTTAATCAATCAAAAACAACCAGGTTATTGTAAGGAAGATACTACTGGCATTAGAGGAGATGGAGAAAAAGAAAACACAGATTTTCTTAAGTGTGGACTCAGTCGTGCTCCAGAATGTTTTGCTCCTGTACTAACGCTATTTACCTTTGTAGTCTAGTGTTATATTGTATATCTATTTTGGGCAGTACACCATATTCACATAGCTACACACAAATATACGGTTATGGACTGTGGAGGTGCAGAAACAATTGATACACATAAAAAATACGATGAAGTATGTGATCATGTGATTAAAGGCGTTAGCAACTTTTTCAAGCTATATATTTGATTTAATCCACATTATAGCAATAGCAAAACCAAACATTGTGTATTGAATCCCTCGGACAGGATTTATATTCCAGTTGAATAGTAAAGTATTTGATCTGCTCCTGATCTTATTATTGTTAGTGAAGTATTGGCATACGTTTTTCAGGACAAGGCTCTGCAGTAGACGTGGATTTTAGGATTTTATGCCTTTTTTAAAATCATATTTAAGTATTTGGAAAGACAGCATGCCACTCAAATGGCTCTTTATTGATGCCAATAGATGTTTTTTTTACAGCAGGCATTTTGATTTGTTGTTAGAGGTAAAGAACAGGTGTAGGCTAATTGATAAAATTGATTGTTGATCTGTTTATTTATTTATCTTAATATTTTTCATTGTGCAATAAAGTGATTACAGAATAAAAAAAGACAGGTACATGAACACATTAACATCTAATTATTTAAAATAAGACCAAGACAAATGATGAAAACCAAAAAGCAATACAACATAAGTTAAGACTAGAGGGTATCTAGTAAACAAGGCATAAAAAGGAGGTCTAGCAAAAACTGTGGACGCAGATGGATGTGTGGTGTGGGGGGTTATGTTTGTTTATGTATTTGTGGTGCAATTGTAAGAGAAGATTGAGCAAATTGGGGCTCTGATTGACTGAAGTGTCCCAGTAAGTAATGGCTGTCAGCCAGCATGCACATAACTAAGCAGGACTTTTGAACTGGAAGGGTAAACATAAATTGAATACAGCCATTATTAATGTCAGTAGTTCTACCTGCAGTTTTCCTGCTGTGACATATCAAATGTGTGTGAAAACAATATTATGCTACAGAAAGATGTGGTTTGTTTGGTGTCTGAAAGGGAGAATGATGGGATAAGCATCTCACAGACAACTTTGTCCTTACTTATAAAAGGAAGTAATTGGTATGTAGGAGGAGCCTTATTAGTTGTACTTTGTTACTCTGTCCAAATGACTAAATATATTAAAAACAAAAGATAAACAACTTACTAAGAGTAATATTTATAATATCAAATAATTAGGATACAGATGATGGTGACATGGTTTTTCTCATGGAGAATTCTTCCACCTCCCTATTTGAGTCTAGTTACTGAAGACTAGGGCAAATATTAACCTGGAATATTGATACCTTCTGAGGTGGACTTTTGTCTTTCTAATATATGAAAGTATAGTCAAAATTAATCTTGAAACACCAAATGTTTTTAAATTTTAAAATGGATTTCTTTTACACTTATTTGTGTAAGGTTTTGTAGGTATTACAATTCTGTATTGGTCTGTGAGCACTGTCAGAATAATACAGTAGGATACCTTTAGAACAAATATTTTCTCTTTGCAGGCTTTGAATTCTCCATCTTGATATTCATTTACATCTTTGTACAGTGTTTTAACATAATCCCTGCATTTATTGTCTTTCCTCAGATGCACCATCGACTGATGGCCCAAGAATGCCATCTTTTAACGGAGAGCTGAATGGGCTATTGGGAGCAGCAGGCCTTCTGGGAGGCACTGATCGGTCCACCATGTCAGAATCTAGCAGACCCATCTCCACAGACCTCAGCAGTGCTCAGGAGTGTCAGATAATGTGAGTTCGTTCTTAGAATCAATCACTTGTAAAACCTAGTAGTTAGGCATACTTTGTCACATGAGGCAAAAGCACATAGAGATCTCTATCTTCTGTTTAAATTTCATCATTAAAATGCAGAGACATTTTGTAAGCACTTTTGTTATTGAGAAACTAAATCCCTGTTGAACTTAAATGTATATGCTCTAATTTCAGCTGCCTTTCGGGTGATGATCGCTCCACCTGTATCCCCATCACCTCCAACAATGTGGAGATTGTGGCAAGTCAAGATTCCAGCATCAACAGCAAGGCTCGTGGCAGCAACAAGGTAAGAAGCCAAGTTGTTTCTGTTAAGTTTATAAATCAGGGGGACGGAAATAGAAATCTACAACACTGACAATGTATGAGAGTCAAAATGACTTACTAGAATGTAGTGCTTGCTTTTGGACAAGTGATTAGTTACAGTGCTTTTTAAAAATTCAGATGTCTGCCTCTCTAATCAGGAAATAACTTTTTTTTAAAGAATACTAATGATCACAGAAGTATACATATATATGAGATAAGTGTTAAGTGCAAGGTTCATTTATTGAGCTTTAACTTAATGAACTTTGTTTAGAGAACATTAATTGAATGGTGAATGTTTTATTCATTCAGGTGAAGATTCAACCTGTTGCCAAGTACGACTGGGAACACAAATATTATTATGGCAGACTGATAGCCGTGTCCAACTCCTTCCTGGCCTACGCCATCAGAGGTGAGAGTCCTGGAATGCCTTTTTTTCTTCCATCACTTGACACAAATATCAAAAAGCACTTAAGATAAACAAGAACTACTACTACAGACAGTTCAGGTCATCATACATGATATGTGGTGTTTACAATACAGTGCTTTCATTTTGTTTTTAATCTAAAGCAGTGGGAAAAACCATAACAATTCATGCACAGTGTCTTCATAAGGTATTCAAACCTCTTCACATTTTTCAGACTCTCGTGCTCTAGATTTAATTTTTTAGTGGATAAAATTGCCATTTTTGCCCATTAGTCTACACTCAATAACCCATAATGACGAAGTAAAAACATTTTTTGTTTGTTTTTAGACATTTTTGCAAATTTATTTTAAATTAAAAACTGAAATCTTCCATGTACATAGGTATTCAGACCCTTTGCCGTGGCAATCCAAATTGTAGTCACTCTTTTGCTTTAATTCAGTGTGTTTGCTTTAATTATCCTAGTGAAGTGTCAGGAACATAATCAGAGTCCATCTGTGGCAAATTGAATTGATTAGACATAATTTAGGAGAGCACACACACCTGTGTATTCCTGGATGTAGACCTCTGCGATAAAATTGTGGCGAGGCATAGATCAAGGCAGAGGAATAATACCGTAAATACTGTAAAGCTCCAAGAATCACAGTCGCTTCAATAATTGTGAAATGGAAGAGGTTTCGAACCACCAGAATTCCTTCTAAAGTAGGCTGTCAAGCAAAACTGAGTACCAACCAAGACCTCAACAGTCAGTGTAAAAGAGCTTCAGCAACAATGAAGAATCAAGAGCTTGATTTTTTTTAAAGTACTTGAAGTAAAGCTTTAATAAACAAGTTTAAATACAGTGTATAAACATTAGTTTCTTCTTTACCTATGGTGATGCTCACAGCATTGAAAGATGCACATGCAAAAGAAACATGTCATGTCACTGTCTACAGTTAACATAGGAACTATTTCCTTAGTAAAAAGTATTTCTATCAAAAACTGGTGTTTGTGTGGGTGTAAGAAGGAAGCAGGAAAATATTATCCCATTCCACTACTTACAGAGATATTTTCATATAATATGATCAGATAGTTGCTCAACTATCTGATCATATTATATGATCAAATAGTTACTCAACTGAATTGAGTTCTGTGATACTACGTGCCTCTTTATCTTTTTCTTTAAACAAACATCTCTTACCTCAGGAGCCAATAACCATGCAATGATTCGTGTCCTGAGTGTGAGTTTCGCCGAGCGCTCCCTTCTGAAGGGCTTCACTGGAGCTGTCACAGATCTGGCTTTTGCCCACCTCGACTCCTCCCTGTTGGGTTGTGTAGATGAAGCGGGCAACTTGATGGTCTGGCAGCTCACCTGCACTGGAAACAAGATACTGTATCCTGACATGTGGGAGACATTGGAATGGAGTGTGTAGGAGGGTGTGCAGGTCTATGTGCGTCTCTGCAGAGTGGATGTTACTGCTTGCCTTTCCACTGTTTTATTCATCGCTTTTTAAATGGAAATAATACTCACAGCAGCTCAAACTGCCTTGTGATTTTTACACAAATCCCTGCGTTATCATAACCTGCTTTGGTGTAGTAGTAATCACGGAAACCAATCTATCAAGAAATTGTCTTTTTTCCCCTATTTACCTTAACCCATGCTCCCTGCAGTGATCAGGTGGTGGTTCATATCCAACGGCCAGAAAACACTCCACTGAACTCTCATCGTCGCCTCATCTGGTGCCCGTTCATCCAGGATGACAATGAGGAGAACCAGGACGACACCAGCCAGACCTTAGCCCTTCTTCACGAAGACATGGTATCAGTGTTTTTGCTATCAGAATGGAATCAGGAGAGAGAATATTGGGAACTTAGCATCCACAAGTTTACCATCTTTTTTCTAGGCTGAGGTGTGGGACCTGGAAGTCTTGAGGGCCAACAATAGCAGTTGGCCTGTCGATTCCACAGATGTAAAAGAAGGCCTCATCACAGTCAAGGGACATAACCAGGTAGGAGTCAGGATAAAACTGCAGTGTAAGAATTTTTGCAGAATGTTTGACAATATTCAAAACTATTTTCAGTACTAAAAATGTTAATTTTCATTAGAAAAATAAAACCACAATAACAACAAGTACAAAGTGGTGTGCTTTATGATTTTGGGTTTGTTAGAAGCATTATTTGCAGTACTGATTGTGTATGTTGCCCCTCCAGCGAGTCAGTGAAGGGGCCCTGTCTCCAGATGGAACGGTGTTAGCCACAGCCAGCCATGATGGATACATCAAGTTCTGGCAGATATACATTGAGGGGGGACAGGATAAGCCAAGGTAAGCAAGGAGGGAGGTTTTCTAATGAGCATTATGGTACCGTCATATTTATTTTTATACATTATCATGTAATGTAAATGTCATTTCCTTTAACCAAAAAATAGCTGAATGAAATGAAACATGAGGTCCATGTTGTAATCTGTCACTTACTGACCTATTGTCTTTTTTGGCCCTTACCTACTTTGTTGTTGTGGTTTTCTTAACTTCTTCACTTTACCACTTCTCTTCACACTCTGTTGTCTAGATGTCTTCATGAATTGCGGCCCCACGGAGGACGTCCCCTTTCCTGCCTTCTTTTCTGTGACAACCACAAAAGACAGGACCCAGAGTTAGTATACACCGGTGCACACACAGTTTTCAGTTAAAATTGTGACATCTGAAGCTTTTGCCTTAAATTTTAGGTCTTTTACATTGTCTTTGTCATCTCTGGTCCTTCCACGTTGCAGAGTTCCTTTCTGGCGGTTCCTCATAACCGGAGCGGATCAGAACCAGGAGTTGAAAATGTGGTGCACAGTTTCCTGGACCTGTTTACAGACCATCAGGTCATTGCTTTTCTTCATCATTAAAAATTGAAATCCTATTTATGCACTGTATCCTGTGTAATAAAACATGACCTTACTAAATGTCTTCCTGGAAGTCTCCCATCAAATTGGTGCTTCATACCAGTCCAAATTTAGTTCTCAAATAAAGAGATGTGTTGAAGACTATTCCTGCTATCTGAAGCTCATCCTATTGATTTCCACTGTTGTTTAAGAGCAGCAGATTTAAAGATACTAATGGTGGTTTTTCATCGTTTAGGTTTTCTCCAGATCTGTTCAACTCATCAGTTCTGCCGAGTCTGAAGGCCAGTGTGGACCTCTCTGCTGAGTATCTTATCCTCACCGACGTACAGAGGAAGGTCAGCCCAATGTTTTCAGTTTGCTTTAAATAATGTTCACAAATACTATGATTTTTATGCCCCCACGCCGGCGATAGTCTTAGCCAGAGGCATTATGTTTTTGGGTCGTCTGTTTGTCTGTCCCATCCTCGTGAACATGACATCTCAAGAATGCCTTGAGGGGTTTTATTTAAACTTTGTACAATTGTTCACTTGGACTCAATAATTTGCTGATAAGATTTTGGTGGTCAAAGGTCAAGGTCACAGTGACCTTGCAAATGTGTCATTCTCGTGAATGCCATTTCTCAAGAACACATTGAGGGAATTCCTTCAAATTTGGTACAATTGTTAACTTTGATACAAGGATGAACTGATCAGATATTGGTGATCAAAGATCACTGTGACCTTGTGTCTGTCTAATTTTCGTGAAAGCAACATCTCAAGAAGGCCTTGAGGGAGTTTCCTCAATTTCAACATAAATGTTCATTTGGAGTTAATAATGAATTCATCAGATTTTGGTGGTTGGATGTCAAAGGTCAAGGTCACTGTGACCTCATAAAACATGTTTTTGGCCATAACTCAAAAATTCATACACTAATTATGAAAAAGATTCACACAGATGTCTGTTAGGATAAAATGATGAAGTGATGACAGTTTATATCCAAAAAGTCAAAGGTCAGCTTCACTGTGACATCATAATGCTCTGCAAAAACACTTTTCTGGCCATTATTTAGCACCATAACTCAGGAACAGAAGGGCTTTGGTCAGGTACTGAATTACCAGATACTGAATTGGTGATACTAATTTTGGGTGCCCACCTTGAAACTTTGCTAATTTTATATATCTTCTGTGCTACTTGGGGAAAGATATGTGTGAAGCATCCACATTCTGACAGACATGAATATAAAGTGTAGAGAAACTTGACAGGTTCATGGAAGCATGCAACTGCAAGGTCATAATTCTAGTTTTCTTTAGCCTATATTTAACTAGGATCCGTCCCTTTGAGATAAAAAAAAAAATCTCCTTTCAAGGGAGTCCTGGCCAAGATAGGTAGCAACACAAGATTAAAACAAGTGATTGTCAACAGACACAAAACAGAAAAAAACAAGACAGTGCTACAATATAAAACATCCCAGTGAACAAAGTGCTGTACAAGCCACGTATCCAAAATGTCAGATAATTAAACAGACAGTTAAACACTAGTTGAATTAAATCTTGGACTATGCCACATCTGAGAGAGACCGTTTAGTCAATTTTGTTTAAGAGGCCACTCTTTGTAAAACTAGGGTTAGTCTGTCCGTGAAAGTGACCCATTATTTTTGATGTGTTGGACTTGGTTTCTGGACATTTTCCCTGCCACCCACATAACCGCTTTATACTACGCTGATGTCTTTTGTTGCCAGGTTCTGTATGTGATGGAGTTGCGGCAGGATCTGGAGAAAGGCAAGGCCAGTTTCACAGCGGTGTCAGAGTTCCTGCTGACCCACCCAGTGCTCAGCTTTGGGGTCCGGGATGTTGCCCACAGCCGATTGCGACACACTGAGGTCCTCACTGCAGAGGAGGAGAGCGAGAGCATGACAACAGGTGTGCAAATTCACTCACACACAAACACACACACACACACACATGCTTGATAAACAAAAAAAAAGCAGTAACTCTTTTCACTCCTGTAATCTTTGATCTTCCCTGTAACACACGGTTATCTTTAAAACAAGCAATTCATTTGCTTTCAGCTTTCAGTTGGGACTTTTTGGGAACACTATTGAATTAAAATGTGCATTAAATATGTAGCAGCATTGATCCCAGTTAACACAGCATTACTTGTGTGTGCGTGCGTGCGTGCGTGCATGCATGTGTGTGTATTTGTGTTTTCTTTCAGAGGGCACTCAAGGACCCACAGAGTCTAAGTCTGGGATACAAATAAAACTCTACTGTGTTCACACCAAGTAAGTTTCCTTCCACTGCCTGATGTCAGAGTTAAGATCAAATTTGCTTGAGTTGAGCTTTATTGTCCCCAAGGGGCAGTGTGGTTACAGTTTCCAAACACCAAAGACTAGCTTTTCATTTGGAACAGTCAAGTGAAGTCTTAATAATCACAGTCGTCTTAAATTAGCGTGTTTGTGGCTGTATTTGTTTTCAGGAGTCTGCAGGATGTCCAGATCTGGTTTCAGCCCAACTTGGGTTCCAGCTCTGCAGCCTTCCTGCCCCATTCTGATTCCCAAGATGGTTTTGGTAAGTCACACTCCCAAGAAGTCAAAAAAGAACATGTGCGAAGGACAAATCTTTATTTGTACATGTTTCTTTCTCATAGTGTGCATTTGTTAACTTCTGTGAATTCTCCTGCATAAACTCTGAAAAGAGAAAAGCTATAGAGGTTTAGTTCAGATAGAAATACATTGGGATGGGTTAATATTAAATTATTTATTTTTAAAAACAGGTATGTAATGTAACTTAAGAGCTGACTTATCCAGCGTGTTAAACATTTAACTCAGTCTTTTACTAAAGGGATAAATATTTTCATTATTGGAGCAAGTTTTTGTATTTAACTCATGCGCTTCTTTCTGATCTTCCCCCTTTCATTTCACTGTCTCATCTCCTCCATCCTTTGATTTGGTCTTTGACCTTAGATTTCATTAAATGTGTCAGTGCGAAATTATTATAGAAATCGTGGATTATGAATATGAAAAGATGCTATAAAGACACATTGGTTTATTTGCTTTACATGTTTCACATGGCACCTTGTGTGTATGCCTTCTTTGTATGTCAAATATCGCCTAACAAATGAAGCACTCTTTGATTCTGTATCCAGCAGGGTTTTCAGACCATCTTACTGACCAGAGCTCTGACAAGGAATCAGGAAGTGGCTCCCAGACTGACCTAAGGAAGATCCCATCGCTTCCTGCTCCCACTGACTTCCTGTCAAACTCAGGCGCCAGCAGTGGGACCAAGCTGATGACTCCTGACGCATTCATGACACCAAGTACTTCGGTACAAACACTTTTTATTCTGCTGTTCTCTATCTTTCTATGGGCTGTCTGGTTGATGATTGACTCCAGCATGCAGTTTACAAAATAGTCAAAACACTTGAACAGAACACCGTGCTTCAAACATTTTCATATTTGTTGCCTAGCAACATCTGGCCCCATGAATAGCACCTTCTCCCACGTATCAGTTGAGTGATGCTACCGGCATTCAGCAGACACAAGCCCATAGTCCTGTTTATACACAGTCTTTACAAACTAAAGACCAACTTGCCTACCGACTGTGGCTGAGTTTACATGGAGACACAACTTTAAAGAGCCAAAGATAAAGTGGGTCTTCAGTTTTATCCACGTGTGAGGCGAGAGGCTGGGAGGTAACTGAAGGATGAGATTTGTGTTATTACTAGACAAAACAAGACTCTCTGATAACATTTTTTCTAAAGATTTTCATCATTAATGTGACTGTCATGGATTCATTTGGGTTGGGACATGACCCATCCGAGTTGTCTACAGGTTTCTTTACTTTTGTCCAGTTTCATGCGATCTCCTACAAAATGTTAAAGGAATACTTTGATTACTATGATCATCAAAATGATGATTTCTGTATCTATTACTTACCCTGTGTTTCGCTGAATTCTTTTGAATTTTCTGAATTTTTTCTGAAGAAAATTTTGTTTTCTGTCATGACTCCACGGTGAATGAAGAATCCAAAAATGGAAAACATTCTTGATGAATTGGAATAAAGGGGGGCTGCGTTAAATAACAGCAAAACCTTATCAAAATATCCATTTACAAAATCTCACACACCAGTGCGGTACAATCAGAGTCTCATTTATCCAGTTGTATTTTCAGCTGCACGCACATGCCACACCCTACTCGTCCCTGCATGAGAGTTTTTATATGCAAGGGTTTTAACTAACAACTGGATAAATGAGACTTGGATTATACTGCAAGAGTTGTGTGGGAGTTTTTAAACAGATGTTTTGATATAGTTTTGGCCCCAGTTTACTATAGTTCATCAAAAATTTCTTTGTTTTTGGATTCCTCATTCACTATGGAGGCATGCAAGAAAAAGCTATTCAAATGATCATTTTGTGGTTGAAGTATTCTTTTAACTGATGAACATCAGAAAGTATGACAAGGTAAATAATGCAGGATAATGTAGAAAGTAGTGTTTTGAGTAGTTTTTTTTTTTTTTTCCAGAAACACTTCATTATATTTGCTGCTTGTAAATCACTTTTTTGTCACCTCCCAGGTACCGGCCTCTCCTGGCAGCAGTGCCAGCAGTCTGACTATTGTGACAGCTATCAGCAGCAACTCAGACTCAACTAACAGGTGAGCTTTTCTATGCAGTTTAGAAGAATAAGAGGTCAGTCGTGACTAGCACATGTATTTTATAGTCTGGCAATATAACAACATTCATTTTGTCTGTATCCTAATGCACTTAGGATCTCAGCTGGAAACTGGATTGTATGGATTGTTACATTTTCATCATGAAACTTTTTCATTGCTTCTTAACTCTCGTTACTCCAGTCACATAGAACTTACTGGGTATTTTGTTACCTCAACAGCTATTTTCTTTTATGTTAGCAATGGTATGTTTGACTTTAAATTTTTGACCGTCACTACTTGCTACATGTTAGTTGCTTTCTTTCTCATTTCTCAATTCTTCTTCCTCAACTCTGTTTATCCTGCCTGAAATCAGACAGAATTTTCAGCTCCCTACACTTTCTATCTTCAGTCTGACAATGCCTCCACTCTAAACGACTTCCATAAGGGAGGGGGGTTGGATTTTCTTTGCAACCAATTTCTAGAGACCAACTTAATGTATCGGCCAGAATCTTATGTCATTTTAAGTCCTCACTGATGTGTAGCCATGCCAACATACCTGTTTTGCCAGGGTTTTAGGAGTGGAGTGAATCGAAGTAAAACAAACTACGATGTCAGGCGATATTGAGAAGATATGTTGCTTTTGAACAGCTTCCATAGTGGCGTCTTTCTCGGCGTTCACTGTTGTTGTTATTACTACTCATTGGTTTCAGCACACCATTTGACGACGCTTGACAACAGCTTGACATTAGTTCCACCCATGGCGCTGATTCCCCCCAAGGTGCTCATTGGTTGTTTGTTATATTAACTGAGAAACTGCTGTTTCATGTCACGATGCCAGATGAATCAATCAACTTGAACTTGGTGCAGTAGGCATATTCAAAGGTGTGGACCCAGACAACTGTCTATCAACTATAGAATAACAACCTCTGATCACACATGTGAACGTGTATCCCAGAGTACAGTGTGTCTGTGGTTTTTTTGTATGCAGAGCTATAGACGATGTGAGTCAGAGTCCTAACAGAGCAGAGAACAACAGCAGCAGCAGTTTGGCAGTCTCCACCTCCACCAGCAGCCCAAGAGCTGCCTCTGCTGTGCTGCTGCCTGGACTGGAGAGCCTACAAGTAAGACTGGACACTCTCCTGCTTCTACCAGCCTCTTAATATTCTGAACAGCATGGTCTTTTTTCATAACACTCCTCATCTCCATCTCCAGGCTTTAGCGTCCCCTAGTGGTCCTCTTGCACTCGACAGCCCTCAGGTTCTGGATTCTCCCCTCCTGCCACCTCTGGCTTCTCCGACCAGGGCACGCTCCCCTGATGTCATTTCCTCAGCCTCCACAGCCATGTCCCAGGACATGCCGGAGATTGCATCTCAGACTCTGCAGCTTCAGCGTGGAATGGTGTCAAGCTTGGAGCCCTTACCTCTTTCTGCCCTTCAGACAGACAGCATGGCCTCTGCTGCGTCTGCGCTGCACCTTCTCACCTCACCACGTACAGCCAACAGCAACAGGTATGTTGATGACAAGCAATGATAATATAACCTACACAAAAATAAATGCTGATTTAATGGTCCCAATGAGAAACAACTCTTAAACTGTAAGCAAGGTCGATAAGTCCATCTGTCTGTCTGCTTTTAAACAAATACACTCCAAAATACGAAACATACTTGCAAAAACACCAGTACTGGCCTTTAAATTGACAAGACTGTTGTGTTTTTTGTTTCAGCCTGTTGCCCCTCGAACTCGGAGGTGCTGATGGATCAGTGGGCGGGGCCGTAGAGTCAGAGCCCAGACTCAGTCACACCCCATCTTTACTTGAGAACGCCTTATCACAGGAGAACCCTGGGGTTGGTGGAGGGTCCTCAGATGGTAGTGTTAGCCACACACCTTGGCCAGCTGCACCCGATATCACGAGAGAAACCAGGAACAGTCTGAGAGACAACGGTCTTGGTGACTGGTAAGAATTTGCATGTACAAATACATACTTTAAACATAAACATCTACATGAAGGATTTAACAAAGTTCTAAAAATGTATTTTCAAAATTTGACCACCACTTTACTTTTGAGAAAATGACTTGTATAAAAGTCTCAAGCATTTCATAATGTTTTGTAGGATTGTAACCGCTTGTGTTCTTCCAAACATGGGAAATTATTACTGGTATAGCAGTTTTGTTCACTATTTCCAAAACCCTTAACATACAAAAGAATATAAAGCATCTGGACATGAACACACATTAACATAAACAAGCATTTGCATAAGGCTTGCAAGCATACAGTAAATGGATGACATGGCATTGACAAAATGACTCGGTCAGTGTTTATATCTGTTGAAATTATGAAAGCAGTGTGAAAAACAATTTTAAGAGAGGTTTGTGTCTTGTGTGTCTACTGTGTTGTAGTTCAAGAGACGAGTCAAACGACAGACACTTGAGCTCACCTTACCATCGACGCTCCTATCACCTCACACAGAATGACAGTCAGGAAGCTGGCGCAGAGCAGAGGTAACACAAATAAAAAAGCAGTCTCTTTGTTAATGCAAATACGACACACCGGTGTCATCCTAGATAATGTCACAAGATGAGGCACAACACAAATTCAGCACTTTATTGATAACATTCTGATTTTATTGATCTTTGATGAGAGAGTATGTGGTATACACTCTGCTACTTAGATTACAGCAGCTGTCTTATTCTGTGTGTATCTGTATGTTTCTGTCTTTGACCCAGTGACCCTGATGATGAGGTGGCCAGCCTTGCATCATCCTCAGGAAACTGTGGTTCTCGTTCTTCTCACAGACTACCGGTTAAGGACTGGAAGACCTCGCCACGAGGCTCGCCAAAAGTAAAGAGGAAGACCAAGAAAGATGACAGGTATGAGCATGAAGTATGAGAGTATGAAGTTTGGATGTAATAAAGACAATTAAGCAGATCTGTGACGTGTGTGTGTGACATGTAGTTGAAAGAGTGGTACAAAGTGATGTAGAGAAAAAGTTGAGTTGAGAAACAATGTTTAGCTTGTGTCATTTGATATTTTGAATGCAGCATAAATCCCTAGTGTGAGATAAAAGCAATATAAATAGGAATTAAGATATGCACCGGGCCTCTTGAAATGAGTCACCTGCTGTTTCTATCACAATGAATCAGTCATTTCCATATTTCTTATTACACCCATTCTTAAATGTAAAAAGTCTGTACAAATGATACTTTTTTATTCGTAGAAAATCAGATCTATCTTAAATTGTCTTTTTAAACTTGCTTTAATGATTGATGATGCTGTCAGTAAGTGCATCAGGAAATTGTCAGACAGTCACTTAGGCTTGGTCATAATAGGTTGTTGACTGACAGCGGGAAGAGATTAGTTACACTTAAATTACTGTTAAGATGCAGTTTTATGTGGACTGATTGTCACATCAAGTAGCAAAATAAACAAGACTGCTTTTAATTCATCCCGTAAAGCCACAGTTGGTAAGATTTATGAAAATAATGTTTTGCCATGTTTGCTAAATATATTGGAATTTGCTAGAATCTATTGTGGCGCACCAAAAACAGCCAATCAGAGCGGAGTAGTCTCTGACACAACTGTTAATTATATTAGTCACTGCCCGTGATCTGTGGTCAAACTGTCAAATGAGGCAGTGATGATCAAATATGAGTCGAGATTCTGTTGCTGCATTGCCTGTTTCTCACCTCAGATGTTTTCAGAAGCATATTTTATTGAACTGTGTAGCTATAAAACAAGAAAGTTTGCTGTGGCTGTTGGGTGGTGTTGGGTTTCAGCTCGATTGTTTACAACATGGTGGCAGAGTCACAAAATTTCTCATTTTAAAGCTAACCAATACACTACAGTTTGTTTCTGAAAACATTTGAGGTGAGAATGAGCAATGCAGGGACAGAATCTTGATTCATATTTGACCAGCAGCACTGCTTAGGTTGACAGATTGAGCAGTTCACAAGCAGCGACTTACATAACTGACAGACGTGTTAGAGACTCCTCGCCTCTGATTGGTTTTGATCATGTGCAGAAATGACATTAGAGGAGTTACAAGGTAATGGATTTTTTTCCCACAGATAATCTGTGTCATTTAATGCTGTGTGGACATAATGACAGTTTGAACAAATATGACTTAGTTATTTTATATATGAGTTACCAACTAAAGCTTTAGCAACTGTGGTTATGTGGATTGTCAAGATTAATATTAATATTTGGCTACAGTTAATTGGCTTTCTTCAAGTCTTGGTAATGGAGTCACAAGCCCCTTTTACACTACCTCTTCAAGGCGGGAATTTCCCACCGATGTATCGCCTTGCCATTCTGTATAAACGGTACAATTGCGTAATTGGTGGACAGAGTTGTCTCGCCTTTAAGGTGGCATCAGAGGTAGTAGCAGCACTGAAACAATGTCTGCAAAAAAGGGACAGCCAGGTGACAGCTGGCAGGACAGGGACCGTGGGTGGGACGGGTGTGATGTTTTGACACCGTGTTGTGTGTACGACCCTTGGGGAGATTTAAAAAGTAGCTACTGCTAGCAGTCAGCAGCTAACTCAAAGAAGAAGAACAGCAACTGAAAATGTCCACAAGCTCACGTTTGTTACATGTCACACTAGAGGCTGACGCTGTTGTGTTTCACGTCATGCCTGTCACGCCTCTTTTGCTTCCCTGATGCTGGCATACTGCCTAAAATCATACAGTGTAGTGGAATAATGCTGACGTTTGGTTCTCTGGTAAAATATAAATGCGGTATAAACACACACATAAACATATAAACAGAAAACCTGATTTGTGTCATTGGTTCAAGTATTATCAATAAAAGTGTTTGCCTCTTCTTTCTCCTTTGTCCTCAGTGAATCATCTCAGTCCAGGCAAATGGACTCTGGTCAGGTAAGGTGATCATAAAACATATTGGCCAGCTTCTTTTATATTCATTGATTGCCACAATGATATCATGAATGGATGAAAAGTTATTTTGTATTTTAAAATTATTTGTACTCTTGGAAACGCATTATAAGTATCTGTAACCATTAATTGATTTTTGGCCACTAGGGGACAGCAAATATCAAAACAAGTGGGCAGATACTGATCCACCAGCTTTTATATTCACTTTCAATCTCTTAGCAAATTATTGTCTACTTATATCAGCATTAAAGTAAAAAAATATTATTTGAGTTTAATTCATTTGTTTCAGCAGCACTTTCCCTTGGTCCACTTTGTCTCCTTTTTCAATTATTGTTTCCATTCCATAGATAAATGCAGAAGTACAGGACGAGTTGTTGATGCTGCTGCGCAGCCAGCAGAGGGAGTTGACTGAACTGCGAGGACAGATTGAAGCTATGCAGAGCACTATTATGGCCCAAGTAGAGCACGTCCTTACCAACCACCAGGAACAAGAGCGTATCCTTCAGTCTTTTCTGACTCATTGAACTTGTTTTGGTAGTTTCTTCATTTAACATTTCATCACTCATAAAACTTTTTATGAAAAACTTGAGCCAAAGCTTCTCTTCATTAATTCCAGTAAGCACTAACTTTAAAAGTGAGTACACAAGGTCACCTAAGGCTTCAAAGACGGTGGTGTCTACATAATTATATGTATGAATTGTATGAAGTTTTTGTAACAGTACACATGTAGGACTTGATGATGAGCCTTTCACATGATATTCTTGTGAGCCTTGACCTTTCATGACCTCAGAGCGCAGACTAGAGCGAGTTCTGGCAGAGAGTCAGAATCATCAGCAGCAGCTTCAGGAACAACTCAGCCAGCAGCTCAGCCACACCCTCAGCACGGTGCTAACCAACAGAATGGACAAAGTGCTACGAGAGGAGATGAAGAAAACAGTCCCACAAAGTAAGCACACACAAACAAACATCAACAAGGAAAAAAAATCAGCAATCACAGAGTCAGATGTAACAAAGCCGAGCTTTACCCTGCTGAAATGGACTGTATGTAGGAGCAGTTGTCCACATTTGTTACCACACAATGGTTGTATCACAGCATTTTGTTTTTTTGCCAGTTGCAGACAAGGATGACTTTAAGTATAAATCTAAACAGTCTGCATATGTAGCACACTGGTGTCTCCTGTCCTTGGCTTATTTTCTCTAGTCTTTCCACCACCCACTTGCAAATTAATGCTTAGTTCAGGAGACAGAAATCCACAAATCTTCTCTCTTTATCTGTTGTAGCTGTGTCTAAGGTACTTTTAAAATGTGTGCCATTTCTAAGTGACACTTGAAGATGCCTTGTTTTGTATTTCTTCACCTCACTTTCTTTAGTTTGATTACTTCAAGTCTAAGCAAAGCACATTGCTTGGTCCACTTTATCTTGCAGTTCAGACAGCTCTCTGTACTCAATTTATAGCCAAAATTTACTTGCACAGTTTTAGCTGTTTGAGGCATTTTGCAGCAAAGCAGATGTTTGAAGTTTTATGAATGGAATAGCTTATAAGTTATCACCATTGATCTTGGCCCTCTGTGTCTGAAGGAACAGATAGCTGAAACACTGAATTTTATAAGGACATTAACAAAGTGTATTTGATGTGGATTAGTCACAAAAATACCTCTGAAATACCACATTAAGACAATGAGCCCTAGAAGAAGACCATAGAAAAATGCATGTTGTGATGTGTCATTTATCTTATCTGTAAGAAAAGCAATGTTCTAGAAACTGCTGAGAAACCCCCTTATTATCATTATATCTATGAAAACCATACATTTTGTGAGTGCCCAAGATCTCTAGTTTGTGATTGCAAAGTTTCAGGAGGCTGTGATTATCATAAAGGCCACAACAGGTCATTTTATACAGTGATGTCAAGTTTCAAAATGGTCTCACAACAATGAAATGACTGTGATGGAGACTAACATCATTACACATGAATAAAATTGGGCTCATGGAATCCACAAGAGTCAGTCATACCCAATTTATGCAATTCCAGGACTGTTTAGGGACCAAAGTATGCAGAAATATTCAAATACAATAGGCAAAATATCACATTTGTACTGCATGCAAATAAATTGCATGTTTTTTGCCCCATGCTGTATGGGGCTAACATAAAGCTGGCAAGTCTGTAAAAGGGAAACTTGTGCGTACCCACAGAAGCCATTTTTATTCAGATTTCTTAAAGGATAACTTTGGTATTTTTCAACCTGGGCCCTGTTTCCCCATGTGTATGTGTGCGTATGATTGATAGGTACAACTCGTTTTAAAAGTGGTTCAGTATTGAGGGAGGCGGATGTAGCCGGCAGCTGCGAGGTAGATATGGGGGCAAATGCGTCCCATATAAGTTTGCGCATTAAAAGTCCTTTTTTTCGCCACTGACCGGTTCAGATCGCCAGTGCTATCTCTGTAAATAGCATACTAAGCGTTTCCCTTACCCTTCACTTCCTCTGGGCTGTGTGTGACGTCATCTCGCGAGAGCTTTGCTTGCAGTAAATGTGCGTCTCAGAGACAATTCTAGGTATCAGTATTACATGAATAAAAACATATTAGTTATACATTCTTGATGGATAGTTGACCATTTGGCCCCTGTGGTTTTGGCCGCCTCCTCCAATTTATTTTGGGCACGTGAAAAAAGGTATCCAGCACTGCCCTGTTGATCAGAGGGGGGAAATCCTCTAACGTAGTCACACAGCATTTGGTAGTTTCTGTATCATCCCAGGACACATCGAGACCATGAATATTGGGCAACAGGTCCCACTTGTTGCAACACAGACATTGTTGAACCGGTCAGTGGCGAAAAAAAGCACTTTTAATGCGCAAACTTATACGGGACACATTTGCCCCCATATCTACCGTTTTAGCTCATTTTGCGGCTGCCGGCTGTAACCGCCTCCCTCAATACTGAACCAATTTTAAAACGAGTTGTACCTATGAATCATACGCACACATACACATGGGGAAATAGGGCCCAGGTTGAAAAATACTGAAGTTATCCTTTAAGGTAAGAGGTCAAGGGACCCCTGTGAAAATGTTAGTGTTCCCCAGTGTGTTATTTAGCCCCCTTCCCAACAACCTACCATGACATGGTTGCTACCAATGGGCTCCTTAGGTCTTCTAGTTTCATATGACAACTAATGTCAGTCGAAGTATCTTGCAGTCCTGCGGGTCTCTTAAGTTAATAAGGTTAGTATTGCTGCTGATAACAGTCTGACAGATGGAATTAATACATCCCTGATCTGAGTTAGCAGCAAACACTGGCTGACTAGCAGGCCCTTGTGATTTTAAGTGAATCTTGTGTACTTGCTGTTTTTGCTTTCTTTTATCTTCACAGCGAAACGCAGCACAGAAAAATGGACAGAGTGCACACTAGGCTGTACATCAATAAATTACAGTGTTATTTTCATGCTTGAGATCACCCGAGGCATAAGATGAATTAGATATACTAAAGGCAGCTGAGGTGTGTTGGACTGCCACACTAAAATTAGGCAGTCTGTAGAGAGATGTTTTCTTGCCTCGCCTCTCCTGCCCTCAAATTCAAGAATGAGATGTTCCTGTCTTTTTCCTCCAGGCTTGATCACATTCCTAATTATCAGGGAGTTCTTGCTAATGTGTCTTGCTTATTCTTTCACCTCTCTAGCAATCTCAAAGAGTCTGGAGCCAGTGACAGGTCAGCTGAACAATACAATTGCTGCTAAACTGACCGCTGTGGAGGTCACCCTGAAGGACAATGTCAGCAAGGTGGTCAAATCAAAGGTAAGCAGCTGGCCCTGCATTCTGTCCAATGTGAAATCTTTGTAACATCACCTGCTCCCCTCTGCCCTACTCAATTTACCTTCTTTTTGGTTACAGAATACAACAGATGCAATTGGTCGAGCAGCAGCTGAGGCGATGCAGGGGCCCATCCAAGCAGCCTATAAAGACACCTTCCAAAGCATCGTGCTGCCTGTTTTTGAAAGAGGCTGCCAATCCATGTTCCAACAAATCAACGACAGCTTCAAACAAGGCACACAAGAATGTAAGTCCATTTCAGCTAACATCAAGTTCTGTGGTTTTGTTTGCAAATAAATAATAAAATATAATACAGATATCAAGATATGATGGCGATAACCTCCTGCAATGTCACAGTTTTACTTGCATGCTGTGAAAATAGACTATCCATTCACTCACTACACGTCTAGACATTAAAAGTTTTGGAATGTTTTGACCGTTGTGCTTTTTGAGACACCTTGTATTGGCACTTTCTTTCTGTTAGTTGTTCCCTGTATCTAGCCCTGAAATCAGGGTCTGTTTATCTGGAAGTCTAATTAAATAACCATCTCTTTCAAAAAGCTCAGGGACAGCTTTTGTAACAACGCCTTTTTAGTCTGAGCCAGGGCACTGATGTGTTGATAAGCAGCCTATTTATTCTGAGATTGTGCTCATGCCCACCTCTGTAAGCTGGCAGCTTGGTGTTTTTTAAATGTACCAAGGCTGTCATAATGTGTACAGAGGGGAGACACACACAGTTACCCTGCAGTAAATAGGGAGGCCACAATACCCCTCTGAGCATGTGTTCTCTTGTGAGCTTGTTCCAATTTAAATTTAATCTGTGATCAAATTCAGGGTTTAGCTTTTTGTGTGTAAATATTGACTGTAACTTTGTGAATGCTGCATTGCCTCTGCACTGCCATTCAGCTACTGTGCCAGCCTTCAGCTTTGTCGTTTATGCCCACATTTTCTCTTTGTTGTTGGTGCATAGTTTTTAAGGATGTCCCAATCCATTCTCAAAGACTGGTAATGGGGCCATCAAGGCATTTTTAACTAGCTAGCTACATGGAGCTCATTCCTGTCCTTTGTTTTACGTCAGCTGGTGTTTTTACTTGCGAAACCTTCATGCATAACAACGCAATGACTGCAGCAGCAACTCTCTCTCCTCTCCTCTGCTTGGGTCTTGTGTGTGTAAGAGCAGGGGCTTAGCCCTGCCTGCGGCAATACACCACACACCATAAACGACAGCAAAATGCGGTATAAGACTGTTTTATTTGTTTTATTTACTGAAGTAATGAGCACTCTTTTAATTTCAGCTCAGTGTGAGTCTCTTGTGATGTGCTGTCATCTATAGCACATGGTGTTTCATCACACTGCTCAGACGAGACACAGCTCTTGTGACAACCACACATCACGACACTGCAAATGCAACAAAAACCTCATGAGTAAAAAAGAGTAATATAATAACAGCTTAATCTGCGTAAAACATGTACAGACAACAAAAGTAAACACTCAACGGAATACAGCTCATTCACGTTGGCTAACTCAGACAAGGCTGCACCAAAACAGACACAGGGAATAGTCTACGGACAGAGGAATTACCTCGAGACAGCGACAAGGCCAAAAAGATTTAAAAGAGAGTTTGTGATTTTAAATATCAATATTTTATAAATAATAATAACAAATTAAAAAATATGGAACAGCTAGATGCAGGCAATTTTTTTCTTACTGCATTGCTGAGCTATGCAATAGTCAATCATAGGGTATACATTATATTGATTTTGATAACTTTACTACTTTACTACTACTTTACGTACTTGATGAAGTTTCAGATTAGGACTTCATATATTGGCAGATCAGATCAGGATTTGGGGATTTTCAATGTCATGGCTGAATATTCAGTTGATTTTGACGATGTGGAAAAGTTAGCGAGCTTTCGAAAGATCAATATGACAATAACAATCAGAGTGGCAAAATTAAGCACTTTCAATGGATGATAATTAATGCTGCACATTTTATGTAGGGATTACATTGCAGCCTGTTCAGTCACTGCTGGCTGCAGTGGTTTCTCTGAATACAGGACCAATTTAAAGAATTGTCTCCATTAATCACTGAGACATAAAAACATGGGAAAATAGGGGCCAAGCTGGAAAAACACCAAGTTTCCCTATAAGTTTGATACATGGAATTGCAATAATGTCCCAAGTGTAATATATATGGATACATCATGCAGTGTGCCATAATACATTTTAGATGTGTGTTGACTGTGAATAACATCCACAATCACACAGACTACCTTCATCTGTTGGAGGGAAACCATAAACAACCCAAACATCCTTGCTTCCACTGTCACTGTAATTGTGTTCAGTTCAACACTGTCACCCCAGTTATGGAAGTAGCACTTGAGAGTGCAACACATAAATCAGCTGCTGGGTTTGTCTATAGAGCTTCTGCGCTGGTTGCTCAGTCTCTGTGGTTTTGGCATTACTGCTGCCCTTTCACATTACACTGAGCCAGTTTATAATGTGTTTGCTTATGTTAGGAGGAGGAGGAGGAGAACAACTGATTTTCTGTTGACTTTCATCTTTGCAGACATCCAACAGCTTGAGACCCATGTGAAGAACAGAAAGCAGAGGGAGCAGGAGTCACGAGACCCCATGATTGGCCAGCTCCAGCAGATGATCGACAGCTTCCAAAGCTCCACTGATCAGCTGGCCAATAACATCACAGCTAACGTCCGGGCAGACGTCCAGCACCAGATCCAGATGATGGTGGGAAAGTATGTATCCAACTGTCCCTCATTGATCACACTGTTTGCCACTTGTGATCAGAAAGTTGTAACTGAAACCTTTTTTTTTTTTTTTTTATTGTGTCAGATTTAATAGAAGTGAATCTTCTCTGAACCTTTCACACTTTCTGTCCTGTTTTCTTTTCTCTGCCATTTAACTTCATTTACATATATGATCATGCTGTAATTAGACACAGCATGTCTGCGCTCATCAAAACAATTTTTAATTCTAAAATAAATTTAAAATATAACTCTGATGGTGCCCACTTAGCACTGTGAAATGTAACCATCAAGTTTTATAGGAATCCTGCTGTTAACTGGTATTACCTGCGGTGGCTGATCTGATAGCATTGATTGACATTCCAGGCAGATATTTTGAATATCAGATATGCATATCAGCAGATGCCTGTGCCAGCAGCCCTGGCCTTATTCACTGCCTATTGAGCTGGTGCATAATGGGCTGGAGAGTAGAAACAAGCAAGGCTTAATCCTGGGGCTAATGTAAGAACATAAATTCGATCGAGTCTCTTGTTCCCTCTGCAATTAATTTCATGGCCTCTAGAGTTTATAGATTTGTCGGGGGCGGAGCAGAGAGAAAGTAGTTGGCCAACTTAAACTTTAAAATCTTGAAAAGGAAGTGACAGCGCCGGATTGTGCAGAGCCAGATTTTTTTCTTTGCTCAGAGATTCAGATAGCTTGTATGTTAAGTACATCAATTCAATCAAACCTTGTGCCAACATAGAGACATGATTACACTCACAAAAAGTGATTGAATGCCAGTTTGTTGACGTAGCCAGCCTGCTGCAGTGCAGGATAGTGCTTGAAAATGTATGTAATGGGGAGGATTACCCTTCCTCTCATGTTTCCTTTCTGTCCTTTTCCTCCACAGTTTGCAGGAGTCTATTCTTAGCCACGTGCAGCGAATTGTCAAAGGGGAGGTGAGCCTGGCAATGAAGGAGCAGCAGGCAGTGGTGACCTCCAGCATCATGCAGGCAATGAGGTCGGCAGCTGGCACGCCCGTCCCCACAGCACACCTAGACTACCAGACACAGCAGGCCAACATCCTGCAGCTCCTCCAGCAGGGCCAGCTCAACCAGGCTTTCCAGCAGGTAACACACACACACACACACGGATATAACCAGGTGTATCAGTGGACATATTGCAGCCTCTGAGGTTGAACTGTTTTTCCCAACTGTGAATAAATGCAAACAGCTTGTCATCATGCACAGATAACGTGTATGTTCACACAAAAAATTCCCACCAGGACAGTGAGGCCCAGAATGCCAATATGCTGCAACTACCTTCTACTGTCTCCTTTTTGCAGACACCAGTAGTGCATTAGCTGTGCTGCAGACACTCCTGCATTTTCTCCTAAATATCTTTGTATCTGAATCTACCCTAAGCGGCTGCCAAAAACTCTCTTCCCATCCCCACTTTTTCCTTTTTTCAGCTGTTTGTCATCCTCCATGTGTATGTGCATATAGCTCAGTTCTTAACCCATGGACTTTTTGTTTGACACTTGAAACCACCAGAATGGTCTGTCTGAGCTCATACTTTAGTCAAAACCCCTGACTTACTTGCATGCTTAGTAGGAGTGTACATCACAAATTTCACCGAGATACAGTAATGTATCAGTCTTTTGACAACAATTAAATATTTGCTGATATCACAAACTCTGGCACAATGTGACACATGTCAGTTCAAGGGCCTGTGATTGATACATGACAATATTTGTAAATCTCCGCATTGTCTTTTTCTTGGCTGCATTCCATTGTCTCCCTGGTGCTAGGCTGCTAACACTGTTAAGAGTGTTTAGGAAGGAGGTGTGCTTGGATAGTAATGGTGACACAGATTGGCCATGGGAATTTCAAAATTCAGGCATGTCTCAAAAATGACACTATATATTGATGTTGGATCGTTGGTGGTGTGGAAACCTTACCTTACCTTATTACATTAAGATGTCAACAAGCAACATAAAAGCAAAAATTGTACTATCTTTACAGACATTGCTCTGGATACTTTTAGAAGTAACATACAACGGGGCGTCAGTGGCTTAGTGGTAGAGCAGGCGCCCCATATACACGGCTGTTGCCACAGCGGCCTGGGTTCGACTCCAGCCTGTGGCCCTTTGCTGCATGTCACTCCCACTCTCTCTCCCCCCTTCACACTTAACTGTCCTATCCATTAAAGGCAAAATGGCCCAAAAAATATCTTTAAAAAAAAAGAAGTAACATAGAACCACTAAAGAGGACGCAGCTTTGGTCAAAATCTTTCTGCTTTAAAGCTGGTAGACAAGTCCTTTCTTCAGGAATTCCACTGCGACTGTACAGGAATGTTTTTCTATAGATTTATTGGAGTGAAAAAGATATTTGAATTTGCGTTTGAGTGTGCAAAGATTTATGACAACAGTTTAATTTGAATGTAATGCCTTTTCTCTTACTTCCCTTGCAGGCTCTGTCAGCAACAGATCTGAACTTGGTCTTGTATGTGTGTGAGACCATCGACTCTCAGCAGGTGTTTGGTCAGCACCCCTGCCCTCTCAGCCAGCCCGTGCTGCTGTCGCTCATCCAGCAGCTCTCCTCCAACCTCTCAACCCGCTCTGAGCTCAAAATCAGGTGAGGCTGTTTTACTTATGCTGTTTTTTGCACAGTGTGTGATTTTTACACTTACTTGCATCCACAGTAACACTAATCCCTGCTTAAAGATTACACAGTTTTCCTCTTGGGTCAGAGTTAACATTTGGTGGGTAATTTGTAGATGAATGAAAACACAATGTGGATTCCAACATATGAGGTTTTTGCAGTTGAGATACAACCTTTTATGACAATAACAAAAGCCTGTCTTTTTTTAAACACGGAGATGCCGCGGTAGAGCTGCAATAAAGACCTTTCATTTTACAAACCCAAACAACACTGGCATCACGCTGCCCCAGTGTGTAATTGTAGATTGCATGTCAGCATTCCTGAAGCAAAAGAGGTGTGACGGGCGTGACATTTATGACAACAACCTCGGACTCTATTGTGACATAAAACATATGTTTCTGTCAGTGTTTTCTAAATAATAACAATGGCATGACATGGCAATAACAGTCATTTACCGTCCCTGTTATACGGCTATAGATCTTGTCCTCGACTCAAAAGGGTAAGGAGCTCCCGCACCTCATTGCTGCTGTTCTTCTTCTTTGAGTTAGTTGCTAACTGCTGCTATGTGCAATCTCCTGCCAATGGGTTGTATTCATAACATGCCTTAAAAATGTCACACCTGTCAAGTCCTGCCGGCTGTCCCTTGTACACAGATGTCGATTCGGTGCTGTTAATACCTCCGCTGCCAGTTATAAAGGCGAGGCAGCTCTGTCCCTCCATTCTGCACCTTTTATACAGAACGGCAAGGAGGAATAACGACGCAACATTCCTGCCTTGATCAGGCAATGTAAAAGAGGCTAATGGCTTGAGATGCTTCATAATAATGAATGTTAGTAAGCTGAAGTCTTCCCTATGCTTGTACTAGGACATCAAAATAATGACAGCGATATTGAGTGAAACAGTCGCTCGGCATTAAACCAGCCGACCTCAACTATAAGAAATCTTTGTGCGGCTGCAATACAGCATTTAAAAGCATAACAACAAACAAACGTGTTTTCATGTGTATACACGTAGTGAGAGCTGAGGGATGATGAAGGAAGTCTGGGTACAGTATTAGCCTTGTCTCTTTATTGACACAGCACATCAGATCCACTCCAGTCTCACTTTACAGCTTGGAGTAATTACAGAATTATTGATAATCTGCTGCATCTTTAATGAGGAAAAAAATATTTTTTGCACATAAAAGAATGCAGGATTTGTAAATATTGACACATGAACAGGCCTGTCAGGAAAATTACGTCATCGACTTATTAAGGTCAGCAAGAATGATCAAGGTCATATCTATCTATCGTACAATATTTTTGTTGTGTTTACATGTGTGTTTATCTACATAAGAATGTCACCAACATTTAAGTCGACGTAATGCCACAATAAAAAGCAGCATTTGGCTACTGGTATATAACCTGCTAAGGAATGATTCTATGCCTCTGTGCCAAATGTTTAAAAGTTATTTAAGTGCAGTTTTTGTGAACAGAGCCTGGGAGTTTATTTTATTTATTGTTTTGATTATATGGTTTTAGGTTATTTATCTATTCCCCGAATATTCTTAGGAATTAAAGTTTGTCGCTCTTTGAATGGGTTTACATACATCATTATGCTATTATATTATCATTACATTAGTGGAACAAAATGGTCTTAAATTGACAATTATATTGTTTATCATAGTTATTGTCCTTCAAAAATAGTTATCATGACAGGCCTACAGATGAAATACATGCATCAATTGAAAATAATGAAAGTACTGCTAAATTTTACCTGTATACTTTTCATATTACTTTCAGTATGTTGTCTCACACCATTGTAGTTTGATGTAAGACCTGTCTGGCAATGCAGCAGGCATAACTTGGCTTTAATCAAAAACCTGTGAGCTGTATAAGCTTACTTCTTCCCAAAATGTCTTCATTTTAAGTCCGTTTTCTCTCAAAGCAAGAGAACAAGTTTGGAATTGCATCACACGCCTCCTCTTGCACACAAGCTGGATCCCGGGCTAATGTCGATCTGTAACAAAGCCAGTCTTTGCCTAAACTTTTGCTCCCCATCTCATCTCCATTGTATGCCCATTATTCCTCGTCTCCTGAGTGTTACATGGTGCTAAACTGCTGACCCCATCACCCTGCTCCGTCTGTAGCCCTGCTCCATGGCTGTCCAGGGAGCACAGATGATCCTGTGAATAGCTTCACAAGTTTTAGATGCTCTCTATCGTTCTGTTCTTTCTGTGTCCTTGTATGTCTTATCCTGTTGTTCACTCTTGCACTCCTGTTTGTTTTTTCCTGTTGTTTTACAGAAAAGTGTGTTGTGTTCTGTAATTCTCAAGATGCATGCGGACATGTCTCCTCAGAGAGCCCCTACCTCTCTCACTCCATGTCCTAATCTCTTAGAAACCCTTGCATCCCCTCTCCTTTGGTTCGTGTCTCCCCCAGTAAACCTCTTTCTCTATCGGAGTCCCTTTACAGCACTGCTCTGTGTCTGGATCACCTGTCTGGTTCTGCGTTTATGTTGCAGCTGCCTACTGCTGCTAATACGGCCCTCTGGTGCCCCTCTGTGCCATCTAGAGAGAGAGAGAGGGAGAGAGAGGGAGATGACGGCAGAAGGATGTGGTTCAGTCTGAGGCATTGTTAGGACAGAGCACGGTTGTGGTTGGATGGGTTGTGGTGTGAGGGAGTTCAGTAGATAGAATCAAAACAGGATAAATCACAAAACTTCTTCACATCTTCTCACTCGTGCCTACTTTAATGGCAAATTGTATTTGAGCCACGCAGGAAAACTCTGTGCCCTAATGGAAGTCAATTAATATTGGGATAAGACAAAAACTACAACAATTATAAGGTATATTTTAGAAGGCTTTGCACAAGATAAAAGAGCCCTCGTTTTCTTTACTCTTGATTGTTAGTATCTTTGAGGAATCCATGAAAGATTCGCAAAGAGAAACAAAAGCAACGGATTGTTAGGACCAGAGAAGATCATTAGCAGGATCGTTAGCTGGTTTTGAAGAACACATTAGTGTTGAAATGGATGCAAGAATGATGTGAACTGAGGGAGCATGAAAAGGAATATAATGTACAGTGCCCTCCAAAAGTATTGGAACAGTGAGTCCAATTCGTTTACTTTTGTTGTAGACTGAAAACATTTGGGTTTGACATCAAAAGATGAATATGAGACAAGAGATCAACATTTCAGCTTTTATTTCCAGGTATTTACATCTGGATCTGATACACAACTTAGAAGATAGCATTATTTGTAATGGAACACAACATTTTTAGGTGAGCAAAAGTATTGGAACATATAAACTTAAAATAGATTAAAGTGAATGAGACTTAATATTTAGTTGCAAATCCTTTGCTTTCAATAACTGCATCAAGCCTGTGACCCATTGACATCACCAAACTTTTGCATTCTTCTTTTGTGATGCTTTTCCAGGCTTTCACCGCAGTCTCTTTCAGTTGTTGTTTGTTTTGGGGGGTTACTCCCTTCAGTCTCCTCTTCAGCAGGTAAAATGCATGCTCTATTGGGTTTAAGTCTGGAGACTGACTTGGCCAGTCTAAAACCTTCCACTTCTTGCCCCTGATGAACTCCTTTGTTGTTTGGGCAGTGTGTTTTGGGTCGTTATCTTGCTGCATGATGAAGGATCTCCCAATCAGTTTGGTTGCATCTTTCTTTAAATTAGCAGACAAAATGTTTCTGTAGACTTCAGAGTTCATTTTCCTGCTGCCATCATGTGTTACATCATCAATGAAGATGAAAGAGCCCGTCCCAGAAGAATCCATGCAAGCCCAAGCCATGACATTACCTCCACCGTGTTTCACAGATGAGCTTGTATGTTTGGGATCATGAGCAGATCCTTTCTTTCTCCAAACTTTCGCCTTTCCATCACTTTGGAAAAAGTTAATCTTTGTCTCATTAGTCCATAAAACTTTTTCCCAGAATTTTTGAGGCTCATCTCTGTCACCTTTTGGCAAATTCCAGCCTGGCCTTCCTATTCTTCTTGCTAATGAGTGGTTTGCATCATCTGGTGTAGCCTCTGTACTTTTGTTCATGAAGTCTTCTGCGAACAGTAGATTGTGATACCTTCACTCCTGCCCTCTGGAGGTTGTTGCTGATGTCACTAACAGTTGTTTTAGGGTCTTTCTTTACAGCTCTCACAATGTTTCTGTCATCAACTGCTGATGTTTTCCTTGGTCTACCTGTTTGACGTCTGTTGCTTAGTACACCAGTGGTTTCTTTCTTCTTCAGGACATTCCAAATGGTTGTACTGGCTATGGCCAATGTTTGTGCAATGGCTCTGATTGATTGTCCATCTTCTCTCAGATTCACAATTGCTTCTTTTTCACCCATAGACAGCTCTCTGGTTTTCATGTTGGTTCCACCTCTAAATGCAGTCTGCACAGGCAAAACCTATCGTACCCAATCTGAAACTGAGCTCTGACATTCAGTGCTATTTATTGTTTGAATAATCAATGTAATTGGGAGACACCTGGGCAACAAAACACACCTGTCAGTCACATGTTCCAATACTTTTGCTCTCATGAAAAATGGGTGGGTTCAAACAAAAGGTGCTATCTTCTAAGTTGTGTATCAGATCCAGATGTAAATACCTGGAAATGAAAGCTGAAATGTTGATCTCTTGTCCCATATTCATCTTTTGATGTCAAACCCAAATATTTTCAGTCTACAACAAAAATAAAGGAATTGGCCTCACTGTTCCAATACTTTTGGAGGGCACTGTATGTCTTTTTTTAAGTGTTGGAAAGGGTTGGACACAATTTAGTTAGCTGATTATTTCCTGTAAGACATAAACTAACTAGTCAGTATCTGTGGTGTTCTGTGCAGTGACATTAAATGTCATAAAGAGTGTGTTGGCAGTGTTATGGGGATTTGATAGGCTTGTAATGTGTGTGTGTTGAGGGGAACTCTGGCTAGAGGCCAGCTGGCAATGTGGGAACAGCTCTAATGCTAGACTGGGATCAGGTAATGCTCCGGATGAGGAGATGAATGGTCATTTAAACTGTAAAGACACAGGGCGGAGGAGCAGGACAGAAATAGAGCACCGCTGGACAGTCTGACCACCAGATGTCTGACTAAAACAATTAATTGAGCCGTTAAATGTAGTGTGGTCTGAGTGGGAGGACAGGACACAGGTGACAGTGGCATAACTCAATTTCTGCTGTGGTATTTGAGCGAAAAACACAAGGTGCACACTTACACAGTCGGCAGGCAGCCAGGAAGGAGATCAAGGACGGCGCTTGACATTCAAACTGCGAAAGATAGTTCAGACAGAAGCGGACGTTCTTTCTGTCCCCTGCAACTGCTCAAAGGGCCACAAACACAAATTCTATGCAAGTTAAGCTCGTAGTGCTTTCAAAGCTGAATGAATGAAGTTTCAGGTTGTAGTCATGAAAGTATCTTTCATTTTGTCATTTTATTCACGTAGGACAAACTTAACCATGGCCTCTTGTGCAGACTTAATTTTTTATTATTCTGTTTTTTTCTTGAGCTAAATTCTGCCTGTTCTTCCTGCTTATACCTGCAGTAGATAACCGAGAGGTGAAGTCCCTCTGCTTCAAGTGTCCCCCATGGGACCTTATTTCAGAAGAAATATTGGTGGTAGTCAGTGGAGAGACAAATATTTTTTATCCAGTTTGAATTGTGCCAACAATGAACAACAAATATGATGCTTGTTAATTTAAAATATATTTTTCAAGTTAATAAAGTCACAGTTTGTCATAGTACTATCTAGTTTTGTGCAAAAGCATTCAGTGAACTACATCTCTCATCTCACATGATATACGTAACCAACACCAGCTAGCTAGCTAGGTGACTTAGCTATGTTCCACGCACAAATGTTACGTTATTTACCTGATATGTTTTATCCAGCAACTCTCGGTCTCTTTATCAGACAGCAAGCAAAAGAACGGGCAAGACCCCTTGCTAATGTGAAAATATGTCTGTACAAAACACACAGGCCTTGTAGCTTCAGCAAGAGAGAGAAATTTTAACAGTCTACTTCAACAATTTTTAGGGGTGCACGATAACTATCGCGCCGATAATTATCGGGCTGATAACAGGAAATTATTACGTCATTCCAAGTCCGATATCATGACGAATAGCCCCAATAACATATATAATTTTGTCAGCATGGCAGTGCCCCGCTCCCACTATGAGACCTGAATGGCCTGCAGTGAATGCTGCATTCAAGTGACGTCGGCATAATCAGAAAAACTCTTTCTGACTGGGAAAATTCAAGAATACCCCCTCATGTCGGAAAACAACTCGTTAACTCGGTCATAATTTCACACAGACGCGCACACTCTCTCTCTTTTTCACACACACACACACACACACACACACACACACACACAGATGCGCACACTCTCTCTCACACTTTGCACGGTATACTGGTACCAACGGTAGACTGTGGCACTAAAACTCCACAGTACATATCAGTGTTTCCACTACATTCATTTAGCAGCGGCATGTCGCCGCTGCTAAATTATTGCCGCCACTGCTGCTCCTTCAAAATATTTTTGCAAATGCACCACCACTCTGAGACATCTGTGCACTTGCACAGCGCAGCAGCCAGTATAGTGAGGAGAGCAGCGGCGAGGGGAGTGGGGGAAGGCTCCTATTTAGGGATGCACCGAATATATTCGGCAGAATATTGCAAATAAACACACATTCGGTATTCGGTGGAATAAGTGAAAAGCAAGGCCGAATAATAGAGGCGTGTTTTGATAACGCAATCAAACAGCGTGCGGTGACGGACAGTGTGGCGATAAACAGTAACGGCGAATCCTGCCGGTTGTGGGTTGAACGGGGGTCACAGACATGGACAGGAATACGTATTCCTGTCAAATAAGGTGGCGCATTATAACGGCTTACCGGCGAAGAAGTCCGGCTCCAGGTGAATAACTTGTTGTCATGACTGCCCAAAAGTACCTGAACAGCTGAGCCATGGGGGCACACAGTATGTGGCGTATCAGAGGAGAAACTTTAGGGACTGTTCGTTACTTATGAAGGGACTAGTCAGGGGAGGAGGGTGGCTGGTTGATTTTTATTTATTTTATTTTGATCCCCCCTATGTTAATCACTTATTGATGCTGTTTTTGAAGTATGAATAAGTCAATAAGTAATTTATTCCTTTGAAATATCATTGACGTATTATAGAAAATTGATTATCGTTTTATAAATGACAAAAGGCACATCTGCCTCATTTTTGCTGTGGTATAGTGATACTGTCACTGGTATTGTACCGTGGGTCCCAATTTTGGTACCGTGACAACACTATCTCAAACACACACAGACTCTGTATCTCTGTCTCTCTCTCTCTCTGTCTCTCTCTCTCTCTCTCTCTCTCTCCTAATATGAGATAAAAGAACAACTGAACCCCATTTACCTCAGTAAAAAAGGTATTCATTTGAATGGAACCATAAGCCAAAATTCTTTAAACTTATTTTTTGTTACTATGGAATGCACTTTTTCAGTTTGTTTACATAGACAAGTCTAACTTGTTCAGTGCAATCATTTTCTATATATATAAATTTTTTTTTGAACTTCTGGAATGAACTTTTTCAGTTTGTAATCCCGATGCATGTATTTGCATCAGTTCAAGGGGCCTTTATTTTTATATCAGTAAGTAATGCACCTTATTTAAATTGATGTTCATTTGAGATATCAAATAGTTTTTTTGTTTGATATCTTTTCGAAAATGTTTGAGATGCTTGCCAATGGTTTTTCATTGGAAAAAATAAATATCTCTTCATTTAAAGAGTCAAAACTGTTTTGGTTTTGTTCGTATTGATGTAATGATTATATATATATATATATATATATATATATATATATATATATATATATATATATATATAATGTATATGTGTGTGTGTTACCGGTTATCAGTTATTGGTATCGGCCTTTAGGAGCTGAAAGTTATCGGTTATCGGTTTAAAAGAAAAGTTATCGTGCATCCCTAACAATTTTATTACAAACTGAACCTTTTTTTTACTTGTAAAGTTAATAAGGCCTTAAAAGTTATTAAGTAGTCTTAAATTTGAATTTGTGAGGTCTTAATTACCACAATAATTTTTTCAAAATTGAGTTATTCTTTTGTCAAAATGAGTCAAACTTTGAATCTTTGAGCCTATACCTGAACCAAATACTGTTTATTACTTCATACTTGCACTTACCTGAGTCCGAGGTTGTCACTTGCACTTACCAAAGTGTACATTAGCCTAACTCTAACAACCATATTCCTACATAAAGGTTACCTCTGCATGGGACTATACATATACTGCTTACCTTTATACTCACCTGCAATGCTTGAATGAAATCAATGTTGATTTGTCGTTTGATAAAAGATTATCTTGAAAAGGCCCACAACCCAACGCGACGCCGTAGCGGCGCGCATTCGGTGCGACGGGCTTGTTTTTTCGTCCGGCGCACAGCTCCATGGACCTGCTTCTCCCTACGGTGTTGGGTCAGATCCGTGTTCCCCCTCGGGCTGTGCCTCTCCTACTGTTTCCCACGGAGCTCTGCCCCATTTGAAAGGTGAAGGAAGCCCGTATGTGGAAAGATGTCGCCTCCGAGATGTAGAATGTGTATTACAGAAGAGAAACACACATTTCAGGACCACTGACTTGTATCATCAGAACAGACATGTCCTGTGATTTTCAGCCTCCTTTCATATTTAATAGAGGGGGGACAATACCTGACAGTAATATTCTCAGCTGTCAGAATGTGCCTGCTGTAAAGGATAAATATAATCATAGAAGGCTGAAAATCACAGGACATGTCTGCTTCCTTTCATATTTAATATAGGGGGGGACCTTATCTAAAAGTACAGCTGGCAAGTTTCGCCCCTGCCACAGGCCTTTGCCACCTTGGTCTCGAAAAAACCCCAGGGAAAACCCTATGTGCCTGACTGGAAATGTGTCTTTTTTGCCTTCATTATCTGATGTGTCTGTCCCTCTGTGTCCCTGCTCAGCTACCTGGAGGATGCAGTGATGAACCTGGACCACGGGGACCCGCTGACAAGAGACCACATGTCCTCCGTGCTGGCCCAGGTTAGGCCGAAGCTCTTTACCTTCTTGCAGCAGGACCCCCACAGCCCGCTCAGCAAGAGGGCGCGGCGCCTAATGATGATGCTGCAGGGTCTCGTCAGCCACTAGTCCTACATTTAAAAAATGGTGCAGGAGAGTCGTTTCCTCAGAGTTGCAGATCATGAGTCCATTTTTGTTATGAGTCCACGAATGTTTCAGAGAAAAGAGCAACAAGGACAACTTCACCCTACTCTGTTTTGGAGCTGAGGCTTGGACATGTTGTTGGTTGGTGAGGGAGGACAAGGGCTCCTAAATGACTGAGTTTGAAACACCTTGTTTGGTTCAAGAAGGTTCCCTCCCACCCATCTGTCCCTGAATTCAGCTCTTTCCCCCATTCCATTTGTTCCTATTCCTCCCCCTGCTCTGCCTGCACCAGTTAAGTGTCAAGTTAGGAAGTAGAAGCTTGTTTTGTTTGTTTTCTCCTGGAAATACCTTCAATGCAAGACAATAATGGTCTGGACTACTCTTCAGTTCACTGTAGATTCCTCCAGACCTTCGTTACTGCTGCTTTTTCCCCGCAAGAGGCATTCTGGTTGTGTCTCTCATCCTTTCATCCCCATCGAGAAACAGAAGACTCTCAGAAACAACAGCAAGAGAGCCTGAAATTTCATGTTGTCCCCGTCTCCCAGACACATCATACCTGACACTCCTTTGATGCCACTTCATCCAAATGTGCATAAGACTCAAAGAATGTTCAGCCGAGTGGTCCGCAAGACCAACATCGCTGTGTTTTTCAGTTTTTTTTTCTGTTCTACTGTGTTCCTCTGACCCGTCAGTCAGACATGTTAAGTTTTGGGATACTGAACAAGCTGTGATGCAGGGGCTACTTCTGAGCAACAGAAGGAACGAAAGTATGCTAAAAGAAGACATGTTTTGCCTCAAAATGTCGCCTTGTATCTTGGCCTTAGAAGCAAACAGCAGGCTTGGACACATTTTTTTTCCCCCAATACAGACCAGCATCCTCGCTAGAGCCAACTTGGAATTCAGTTGCTGCAGGATTACGCTGTCCTCAGTTCAGGTTTTTTTAAACATCCAAGCTAATCCCGGCAACCAAAAGTATGTAACATTCAAAGCCATTTTGTGTTGGTGGCATTTTTCCTTTCAGTTATTTTTTAATAGGTTGGAGACGACAACCTCGCCAGGCCAAATCTGTCTCAGCGCTTTGAAGAGGATCAACATGCTGAATTGTTTTACGAAGTTAATTGAATTTGTTCCTGCGTTGGTATTCAGGATGAAAAGCATATTTCTTACTTTTTTCCATCTGGCCTTGTTTTTACAAATCATTCTAATGAGGGTCTCTGAAGGATACAAATAAGATTAAAGGATGTGAAGTAACATTTTTGAGATGTGACAAATATTTGTGGGGGTCCTCCAGGCTGAAAAGAATTCCCCTTTAAAATCTGAAATGTTTGGAGCCCAACATCGAGTTTGGCAGCCGTCCATGTGTACAGCTCTGTCCTGTAAATTAATCAGACCTCTCCCTGTGTTTCCTTCTGTACGTCTGTCCCTTTTTTATATAAACATTTAGCATTTGTAAGACTTGTATACTTGCTTTAAGAGTTGTCAAACTAGTTATAATACATAATAAAAACACTTCCTAAACATAATTGTTACTGATGATGTTATTTTATCAGGCTATTCCAAATAATGTTTGTGAATTTAACGTGCAGTTACTGATCATAGGCTCTAGGAGGCAGCACTTAGTTGGACTGCAGATGTTCACCCTCCTTGTCATTTAGGTTTTGGATTCAGAAATCATTCCTGCTCTTACAGTATCTTCTTTTACCAAACATTGAAAAGCCTGCACCTGTCTGTTCATCTTCAGAGTGTGTTGAAAGTGTATGATAATTTATGTACAGCCCATTTACACACACATCATAGTTTAAGTGCAGGGTGACCACACTGTTTTGCTGATTGTAAAATAAAAGTTCTGTTAATTTGATCTCTGTGTTTAGATTCTGTTAAGTTGGATTTGTCTAGCAAGTGCCTTATTGTACTCTACATGTTTTACTCCAACATTTGATCCCATTTGGGCCTTTAGACAACTTGTTTGAGCATTATCCCACAGCAGTTCCTTTTTAGTTTTACAAGCGTTTATGTTGTTGGATCTGACGTAAGGCTCAAACAGAACAGCAGGGGAGAATCTTTGTGTTCTGTTTGCAAACATTTGACTACCAAGACAGCTGATTGAGAAAGATATTTGAATGCTCATGAAACAGAGAGCGGTATTATTTTGACTACTGCCACCTTCACCTTTGAGTCACAGACCGCAGTTCATTGTCCTCTGAGCAGAAGGACAGGTTGACTCCTGCTTTGCCCTGAGTGGGAGCTGTGTGTGAGAACCAGCTGAGGTTTGTGTGGATATTGTTTTTTCGGTTTGCACTCTGTTCATTTCCCTCTGCTTGGATGCTTATGTTGTATGTTTTACAGTTTATTTTACCCTAAACATTTTGGAATAAAAAAAAGACTTGTTCACTTTATTGTGTCATTATTCGTCCTGTTTTTGCAGAAAACAGTCCTGACCTAAAGTTCAAGTGAGCTGCTTTAGTGTTGAGCAGTCTGTTCCCTCCGCAGGCAATGTTAGAACAGCGCCATTCCCTGAAGATGGGGACTCAGGGCCTTGCTCGTGGGCACTTCAGTGACCCACAGTGGTGGAAAGAAACTAAATACATTTCATAAGTGTGGCTCTTTGCACAATTTTGAGGCACTTGTGCTCAAGTATTTCCATTTAATGCTACATTATACTTCTACTGGACCACGATTCAGAGGGCAACACTAGTGCATACGCCACTTCATTTATTCAACAGCTTTTCAGACAAAGATTTTACATAAAAAAAAACACATGAGCTTACGAAAAACCATAAATGTGGCCCCTCAAAAAAAAACAGACTGATTGGGATTTCTATCCATGAGATGCCAGTTTAACCCAAAGTGACATTCCCCTTTTAAAACTTCTCAGGTAGGTCCATTTGTTCAACTGATCAAGGCACAAAAAGGTAAAATTATCAGAGTGGCCATACACACGCACCATTCTATGTCCCCAGTGCCAAAAACTGCAGTTCCTCAAATGACCACTTGAGGCTTGCTCCAAAGTCATTCCCCATAGACATCCATGTTAAAATACCCAACTTTACAACACAAATAAACATGTTTCCCTAGTCCTGACAGCTGTACAGGGGTACATTTTTATAGAACGAACCTGTTTACATTTTAATAAGGCATTAAGTTAGGCACGGTGATAGTGTTGGTAAGGTAACGTAACCATGGTTAAGATCCGCAGGCAGAACTACTCCATAGTATGGAGTATAGACATAGTTGTCACTATTTCAGTGTTTTTTCACCTCATTGTAACATTTTAATCCCCTAAAAAAAGTCTTGTTTAATGTAGCACTAACAGACCCTCTAAGGAGTTGGATATTTAGTTTTTCTGGTAAGTTCATTTGTCTGAGTGGTTTTAGGCCTTTTTTTTCCAATAGCAAATATGCACATTAGCATTTGTATTATCAGAGCTAAGCATAAAATGCATTGTGCTAACTTAGCTAGCAGCTAGCATTGGCGTTATCTCCAGCCTCTCATCCAAATATGGTCACTTCTGGCTCCAGAAATCAATGGCAACGGCCAAAATGCCAAAAGGGTGTCGAAAAACCAATGGCTGACGTCATGGTGGTGACGTTCATTATTTTATACAGTTTACGGTGTGAATTCATGAACATGGATGCATGTGTCTACATGGTTGCAGCTATTCAAATTTGCACTTTCCTCTTCCATGAGTCCTCTCAGGACCCATAAGATGTTTTTTGTGACCCTTCTGAGGGCACCAGAGCCCTAGGTAGGGAACCACTGGACAAAACTTTCTAGTTGGGTCACACAATCATCTAATAATGTCATGTTAGCCTATATAATGATACATCAATTACAAGGGTATATTAACTGCAGAATGATACTTTGATACTAGAGGTATGTTTTGGTGATGACACCTCTGCACTTTTACTTTACTAGGATTTTGACAGCGCGCATTATTTGTTAAGGAGTATTTCTACATTGTGACTTTCACCTAAGTAAAGCATCTCTACCACCCGTCCATCTACAACTGTGCAGCTCACCGGGGACTCTCTGAGCTGCTGTAGAGCTTCCTCCTCCTCCTCCTCTTCCTCCTCCTCCTCGGCACGGACGCGCCCTCCCCTTCAGCGGAGCGGATCAGCGCGCGGTGGATGCGCTCACACTGGAGTACAGAGCTGCACCAAGGACAGGAGGGAAGCACTTTGACCAGCACTGAGGAGCGGGACGGTGCGTGCTGCGTTTTCTATTGGAAGAACAACTTGGGGATTTCGGTGCAAGCCTCAAACTTATCTGTGAGGACGGAGGACGACTTGTCGGGTCAGCATGGCATCTCTCATGAACTCTGCGTGCCTCCTCTTCTTGCCTGTTGCTCTGCTACTGAGTAAGTACTGAACATATTTGCGTGATTCTGTGGAAAAACTTGTGTTTCTGAACAATGCGTAACTTCCACTGCGGCAGTGGGGATGTTTGGAGTAGTTCTGCCTGCGAGTCATTGCGCGTAATCGGATGGCACGGATGCATATCTGGACTTTGACTGAATGTTTATGATGCCTGTTCAATAGTCTTCTGTTGTAGCCTTCGTCCCCTCATCTTTTAGACTTGACTCTGTCCTGCATCTCTGTGCGCTGCAAGTTAGAGTGTCCCGTAGCTTCACACATTCATCTCCAGCATCCAGCGGAACATGTGCCTCTGCTGCAGGAGCCATCCGATCAGGGAGAGACCATATAGAAACAAATAAAAAAATAGCCTAAAGGTTGTGGATGCAGCAGGAGGAGTGATCCCGTAACAGTGGAATATGATATATTCCCCCCAGCTTTTAATACTGTTGCTAAATGGTAACTTTATTAGGCTATAGTAATAGTGCAGCAACGGTAGATTCATTCATGTTAACTAGGTAGATGATGGGAACCTTATGTCAAACCTGCAGTGGAGGTTTCTCTTGGGATTCCCATCGACCACTTTGCAAGTTTAATGAAGTGAAGTGATAAATTAAAGGGGTGCTCCAGCAATTTCATACTGCACTTCCTTTAAGTTGGGGGACTCAGACAGAGTGGGAAAAGAATGGTCAGAATCAGTAAAGCAGAGGTTGTGATATCCTGACTTTACAAGGATAGCTTGGATCCCAGAAGTCTAAGATTCAAATCATCAGTCGGAGACCCCTCAGTCAACTAATATTCTTCAAGTCAAGCAGTCTTTTTATTTGTTTGTCATTGAATGAGCTGTGCACTTCAAAGGACATGTCCTTCCTCACATTCATCTGCAGAGTGAGTGGCCCTTGATTTCATGCTGCTCCGGTACAGGCAGCTGCGGTCCCCAGATCCAGGGTGAGAGTGAGATGGAGGCAGCTGAGGCTCTGCCTGCTCAGGCTCCGAGATAGCGTTATCTTCTGCCTTCTGCTTTGAAGTGGTGAATTCATAGCTCTTTGCAACTTTATACGATACTGTCTGTGGCTTTTGTTTGATATCTAGTGTCAGCAAATAACATTGCACCTTTACGATCTGTAGCAAGTGTAGTTAGCACGTATAGACTTGGAGGGCTAGCTTGGCTTGTTTAATGTTTAATGTGATGGTCCCTGTCACCCTGTGGTGACTGTGGCTCAAAGGAGGAGTGGGTCATCCACTAATTGGAAGATCAGCGGTTTGATCCCCGACTCTTCTAGTCCACATAAAGAAGTATCCTTAGTCAAGACACTGAACCCCAAACTGCTTGCGATGCCTGTTCTATTGGTGTGTGAAATCATGTGAATCGTCACTGAGTAGCAGGTGCCACCATGTGTGGTAGCCTCGGCCACCAGTGTGTAACTTTGTGTGTTAATGGGTGAATGTGACATGTAGTGTAAAAGCACTTTGAGTAGTTGTAAGACTAGAAAAGTGCTACATACTTTAAGTGCAGTCCATTTACCCTGAACGTCCCACCAGACCCTGCTCAAACTCTCAAACTCTATATGGAAAAAACTCTGAGTCGGGTACAGCACTAGTATAAGGTTCTGGGACTGCACCATTACCACACCAGCACACGCCTGTTGCGTGCCAAGAGGGCGGGGTCTGCACACCATTTGACAGTTAATGTAGTATGCAGATACAATGGATTTGCCGCTAAATCTCAGCAGCGAGACAGAGTCAACATTCAGGCTTACATAAAATCATTTTTTGAACATTACTGTTAATGCAGGCAGTTATTTGTTAACAAGAAAAGCTTTTGCCCTGTTTCCTCAGCTGAAAATTATGTGATTGCTGCCGATGACTGATAGATTGCACTCCCCCATATTAAGGGGGTTCCCTGGCGCACTGAAATGGAGTGGACCCACTTTTCCATAGTCAGTGTATTACAATCAATAGATGTCACTAAGCAGCCCCCAGCTTGGTGAAGTGGGCAGGAATACCGACATGGAAGCCTGGCAGTGTACTGCTGTGGATGGGGCAGCAAGAAAGTGTGTTTTAGCCACTTAAAAAAAGTCCAACCTAAAACAATCTATAATAGTTTGTGTGTAAGCGATTTAACAGTGGGGAGCTAGAGCCTTTATATCATTCTCTTCAAAGCCAGAATCCACTGAGAAAAAACAATAATTTAACACTGCTGGACACGGGAGCTGCTGGTTTACCGATCACTTAGTATTTTTTGTGTTATTGAGAGACTATGGCTGTTAAAAGGGTCAGTTCAGATTCACCAAAGTCACACAACAACACAAACAAACTGATGGAGGCAGCAGTAGAAAAGCAGTGTCCATGTTCAGTGGGCCAAAATTACTGTTGTCAATGGAGTCAGGTGGCGGATTACAAGAGCATTGATGGGGAATTGAAGCTGTTAACACCCCCCATCACGGAGCCACCTGTGTATGAGTAAAGTGCCAAAAATGTTCTCAATATAGTGCACATTTAAATTGTTATTAATTTTTTAAAGTGGCATAAATAAACCTATGCAGCTGCCCATCCACAGAAGTACATTGCACACCTTCCATGGTGGTACGCCTGCCTGTTTCTCCAAACTGGAGGTGTGCCAACAGACATTTACTGTCGGTAATACACTGACTATGGATAAGGATCTCTTGCAACCCCACCTCAAAACATCTGAACTATCACATTAAGTCCATAGAATAGGTCAAGCTCCAAAAACACTGGATCTTACATTTCCCATAATGCAACTTGAAAGCACATTTCATCAGACCCTCGTCTGGTGAATGCCCACATCTTCCAAACTCCATGCCCTCAGTTTGTAACAAAAACGTTTTGTTAAAAATCTATAAAGTCTCTAGAATAAAGCCAAGATAACCTAGGTTACATCACTATGACATCATCGTGGTTATTTGTTAAATTTTGGAAAGCTCCCTCCGGAGCCACAGGCGACGTTACACAACTGTTTTTTTCAGGCTGCATAGTAGCCTACTCTTCATGATGAATAAGCTGAACTTGAGGTCAGAAATTGGTGGAGTGGCTCTTTAAATGAACAAAAATACTATATTGGTCATCTGAAACAAATCTAATCTACTTTAAACTACACTATATGTTAAAACCAATCATCGTCATCATTGATCGTCGTCCCATGCTGCTGTGGATGTCAGAGCAATGTGGAAGAGGGGGTAGATGGGATGGGGCTCCCATGGGAGTGTGACACCGTGAGGGGAAAGGAAAAAAATGTCCCACGGATGGAGATAAATGATGAATGAATCACATCTGTCCCCCTCCTCTTGCACAGCAGAGTCTCTGGAGACTCCGTTCAGCCCCGCATCTGAACCTGACGGGGAAACACTTCTGTGCTGCTGTCATCTCATTCGCTCACTCTGTCCCTCATGTTACTCTCACAAAAGGAAAAGAATAGGCTCGTTACGTATTAATACAGGCTGATATTTTTACATGAAACTCTTTCTTTGTTCCTATCAAAATGTGTGCGTGTGTGTGTGTGTGTGCTTATGGCGATATGTGTGTGTATCCATGAGCGGTGCTCGCGGTCACCTTTGACTCTGACTATCATTAGTCACAAATTCTATAAATAACATAACTGAAGATCAAAACCTGTTTGAAAAAATATCATCCTTCAATTGCAATTGCTTCAAATACACTGAAACAGTTATTAAAACATAAATTGGCTAGGATTATTAATAGGACTAGTATTTATAGCTGCCTTTGATCACTATGGATCTTTACAGCACAGAGCTCTTATTTTCATGTGTCATACAGGAGCACATTAGTGTGGAAAGTCTTTCCCGTTTGTTTTGTAAGTCGGCTCTCAGTCACATGGGAGGAATTTCACAATATTTATACAACATTCTGCAAATGTTGCAAAAAAAAATCAAAATGTTTCTCAAAGGAAAAAAAGGAGGGGTTTGAAGCAGAAGAGTGAGAAAATTTAATCTGCTCAATATGCACACACATACAGGCGTTTTATGTTTTGGGTTTGGCTCTCTTCCTCAGCAGCATCAAAGGGGTTGTTCTTAGGTGTCTCTGGAAATAAAGGAAAAGAAAGAAATGACACACTGATTACATCATAAACAAAAAGCTATTACTACAAAACAAGAGACCTTTTTTTTCACAAAAGATATTTAGACATGTCACAGTGGGGAAAGCTAAGGTGTGAAATATAAAGCCGTTGATGACTGTATTCAAGTTAATTGCTTCAATTAAAAGGTTCTGGTCTTGTACATGCTGTGTGCCAAAAACTGCAGTTCTTTAAACGGCCACTTGAGGCTGAGCCAAAGGGATAGTGCACCCAAAAAAGGAAATTCAGCCATTATCTACTCACCCATATGCCGATGGAGGCTCAGGTGAAGTTTTAGAGTCCTCACAACACTTGTGGAGATCCAAGGGGAGAGGGGGTAGCAACACAACTCCACCTAATGGAGGCTTATGTTGCCCCAGATTCAAACGTCCAAAAACACATAATTGAAACCACAGAATATCTCCATACTGCTCGTCCGTAGTAATACAAGTGTCCTGAAGCTGGCTACAGTGAGGCTAAAAAAGTTCAAATGACGTTTTTCCAAACAACTTTTTATGTCGGGGCTTCAGGACACATGGATCACTACGGACGAGCAGTATGGAGATATTTTGTGGTTTTAATTATGTGTTTTTGGACGTTTGAATCTGGGGCGCCTTAAGCCTCTATTAGGTGGAGTTGTGCTGTTACCCCCTCTGCCCTTGGATCTCCGCAAGTGTTGTGAGGACTCTAAAACTTCACCTGAGCCTCCCTCAGCATATGGGTTATTTTTGGGTGCACTATCCCTTTAGTCCCCATAGACACCAATGTTGAAATGCCCAACTTTACAGCAGAAATAAACATGTTTACAGCCTGGTACAAAATATGTTTTTTGTCTTTATAGCTTATTTCCTTTTTCATGACAACTCTAAGGGGGTGAATATTTATTTAACTCACCTGTTTACATTTTAT